GTAGGGTATGGTTGAGTTTTTGTACTTGCTAGCGTGAGCATATAGTTTTCTATATAGGCTTCTGGTTTTGCCTGATGAGATACAAGGGAGAGTTGTCAATGAAGACGGTGGTGTGAGTTAGATAAAATGGATTTAGCCCATTTTTCACATGAGTCCATGTGCCTGTCGACAAGAATATTAACAAGCTGGTTAAGTGGAACGTCGCTTACCCTGCTGACAACCTTTAACATCCTGTGTAATAAGGCATAGTCTTTCTTCAGTAGCCAGCCCTGGAAAAACTAAGGGGAAATAATAGAGAATAATAGGCAGGATGCGAGAGTTAACGAATCGTGGGAGTAAGGGTTGTGTTATTCCAGAATATCTTAACTTCTTGCTGTAGAAGGTAAGACGGTATATTTTCTTAGAAATCATCAAGATATGAGACGAGCAGGAAAGATCAGCAGATAGAATGACGCCTAGGTATTTAATTTCTGACTTGGTTTTTATTTCAGTGTCATCTATGTTGCACACCTCGTGAGTGCTAACCACCAGTTTGTTTAGGTCAGATTTGTGCCTAAAGGTGAAATTGACTGTTTGCCATTTGAAGGGGTTTAAGGTAAGACCGTATTCCTTGAACCACTGGCTGATTTCTGATAAAAAGCCATAAAAAATCAAAACCTGGATCAGGTCGAGCTCTCTACCAACTGTTTCCAGCTACCTGACACCAAAAGCACCTTAAACTATAACATTCTGGCATCAAAGGGATCACGGTTTATTCTTATCAAGATAAGTCACTGTCAGATATTATGACCAAAGTTAACTCATATCTTGTAGCACAAAGTCGTTTTTCAACATCTGCTTTTCATTTGGAGCATAGCTCCAAACTTTTTGAAGCTTCAATAACAGTGGTGTTGTCTCTAAGCTTTTAGGCTGTTAAGCTCACTGTCAACCTTCTTTATTCTCTGGATTTATCAACAGCTATTCAGTTAGGTATGCGTCCGCTAGGAAATAATTTCAGACATCCAGTAAGATTTACAAGATTTTTTTTAACCCTAGACCACCGACACATAGAATAAATGAATACATTAAAATGTCATCGGTTAATAGATCCTAAGGAATGCTTATTGAAGAAAGAATATTCACCCTTTCAATGAACCCTTCTTCATCAGGATCTACAGTTCTATGCATTCGTAATATTGAATGAATTAATGTTGTTAACAAAATTATTGTTGTTTAAATAATATCGAATCAATAATAATAGTAATATTAATGGATTACAGTTTGATAGCATCAACATAACTATGCATTGGATATCAGGGGAATTAGGAAAGATAATAATACAAATTCATGAATTTTTGGTCTCCCCTAAAAGCTGGCCAGCGCAGCAGTAGTGGCTGGACTTGCTTCTTTTGTCAACAAAGCACTGGTTGTTACACGCGAATCGCGATAACCTCTGCTGTTTGGAGTATGCAATACCTCGATGGTTTTGATAACTTATTCGGTACCCGCTAGATGATAGAGAAGAATTCTTTAGTGCTGGCTTTGTGACCGCTTCGGATAAAATGGTGTAATATCAAAATATTCATGCTTCTCACTATACATTTATTTGTCCACACCACACCTGTAGGTGTTGCTTGGCTAACACGAAAAATCAATCCCCTAAGGCAACGTCCAATATAACTAGCTCCATCGAAAGCGCAGTTGAATTGGTGGGTACAAATACGGGTGTCTGGCGAGTCTAGGTACGTCACCCTTGAATTACAGTCGTATACATAAAGGCTTGTTGTTTGCGGATAGTGATTAATCCTTTTCAACATTTCTGCATCATGTGTTCCTTGATAAATTTGTCGGGATAGCTATTTTTATAGTTCATCTTCAGTTATCTCTTCTGAGTATGCAGCTCTAACCCTTTGGCTGAGGGTCTTGACTAAATTTCTATCATAGTGAATATGAACGAAGCTATGAAAACGTGTATACTATACAATCCATGTGCTTTTCCTATATGCGAATTCCTCTTTATACTACCATCTGGTTTCCTTACAAGAAAGACACCTAGCAAAGCGATTCTATTTTCGTATTCCTCTTCATACGTGAAATTAATTAATGGTGGAGTGTACTTCATTGAACTCAGTTAATTATAATTGTGTTTCTGTTCAAATCATTTTCACACAGAATAAACGTATCATCTCCATATACCAGCAATAAAATGAGAATTTTCTGATAAGGTTACTCAAAGGCCTACCTATTCTCTAGTTTGCTTAAAAAGAAATCTACCATGATAGGAGTTAATGGGGAAACCATTTCCAACCTATCCACTCGTCTATAAAGTGTGCCATCAAATTTGAAATTTACATTCTTAGTACATCTTAATAACAAGTCTTTTAGGATTTCCGTTGGGCTGCCAATATTTATCGACTGGTTATATATACACTTGTTCACATATGTAGTCGACCATTTCTACTTATGGTACATTTGTGAATAAAGATATTATATCTAAGAACTTCATTGTTTTATCCTTGATATCAATATATTATGATTGTTATGTTGATGCTATTGAACCATAATCCATTGATATTGTAATTATTATTGATTCGATGTTATTTGAACAGCATTAATGTTGTTAATATAACTAATTCATCCATTAACTATTATGGATGGATATATAACTGTATAACCTAATGATGAAGTTACGATAGTCACCTCAGTTGATAGTTCATGAGTCCAAAAAACCAAAGCCTGCTATTTTGCAACCTTCCGTAAACTGAATCGCCATTTTGTCCGCAAATATCGCTTCTCATAAAATTATTATAGTTTGTTGATTCAGGGCCTATCAAGACAGTCTAACTATTAATGGACAGTTAACAAAATTAACGAGATTTCTACAAAAATTGAGGATCAATCAAACCTAGATGACCAGGGTAAAGACAATATTTGAACCAACTTCATTTGGATACGTGAGTAAGGTTTCTTAATGCGGATCCCAACACCCAGCCTCAGCAATATTTAATAAACCAACTAATAAGGCGAAGTTAAGATTTGTCGGTATGCAGTAAATGACTTTGTAATCTACCTCGTTAACATAAACCTTATGTTCTGCATCGACGAGATGAGATAGAATAGCTCTACGAATAGATTTTGTTTGTCCTTTACTTAACCAACCACGCATTGTGATGTTCGGAAATTTGATGAGAAACATGCCTAACTGTACTGCCTATACAATTGACTGGCTCCACATGGGGCCAGAGCCACAGCAATCTGCTCGATAAAGAACTTGATAATATCAAACGGTTGCTGAGTGAAAACGGTTATCCATAGAAGTTCACCGATAAGAATATGATTCAAAAATCAAGGCAAATCAGTTTCTCGTGGACAACACCGGTGAGTCACAAACACAACGCCTTAGGGACGCGGTAAAAAGAGCATTCGCTACAGCTGAATTACACTGTGTCTTCAAAATCACCCACCCCTATTTTACATCCGAGAGTAAAAGATAAACCACCCAATTTCCCCTCTTTCATGTGTATCTACCAATTTAACTATTCCTGTTAAGTAAAGGTCAAACAAAATCTATTCGTAGAACTATTCTATCTTATCTTGTGGATACAGAACACAAGACTGATGTTAACGAGGCACCTTTCAAAGTCATTTACCGCATACCAACAAATTTTAACTTCGCCCTAAGTGTTCTTTTACTAAATATTGCTGAGGCTGGCCTTTGGGATTCTCATTAAGAAACCTAATTTATGTATCCAAATGAAGTCAGTTCAGACGTTATCCTTATTTTGGCCATTTAGTTACCAATGATCCTCAATTTTTGTGGAATTTTCCTAATTTTATTTGATATTCTATTTGCTACTTTATTATTATTATTTAAGCATATTTAACGAACTGTAATTCCATTGATCTTATTTTACGAATTGATGTTATTTCAATTAACGTCATAATTGATAAAATAAATACAAAGACTCTATAAAATCCTGTATATCTCCATAATTAACGCCCAAGGTAACGGTATAAGTGTTGGTTTCTCAGATATCTGATTGACGTCCAGTTATATATGGAGCTCACATCAGTCAGATAACTCCGGAAAACCCGCTTCGTCTCTTAACAAAGATTCTTCAGTTCCATATAACCATAGTCACACTAACAACAGACCTGGTGACTGACTACAAGATGGAATCCTAGTTAAAAGTCACCACCAATGTGATTCATAAAGCCATATATATATATATATCAAGATAAATACTCGCCAATAACAGTAGCTATAGTTTGCATTTGGTCCACCGAGGGAGAGGGCTCTCGAGTGGTTGCGCCACAGGATGATCCTGCATACCGGTCTCGTCTCGCAAGAGGCAGGGATGGGTGTGTTTGGTTCTTCTGAAAACCAATACCCAGCCAATGGGTGTATCACTGTGTGTATTGTGCGTTGGTGGCACAGAGTTTAGGACGCTCGCCGACCATACAAATGGTCTGAGGTTCGATCCTCGGCCACAGACGCACTCCTTTACCTCGCTCGTTAATGCAGGTAAAGAGGAAAGGTTGAGCATGAGGCTAGCAACTCCATCCTGTAAAAATAAACACTGCTACAGAAACGTCAAGCCACTAGCTTGAGGCCCTATGTTCCACTGGGAACGTGAAGGAAAAAAGTCGGTTGCATAGCATAAGGCAAACTGACAAAAATTAGAAATGAACTGTCTACTGTATTCCCTCTTATTGGCTGGGTAGTTAGCAAACTGGCGTAGAAACCTGAAGGTAGTGAATTTGACCTGCGGTGAATTCATTCCGATTTATTTACTACTGAAGAGTCCTAGACTAGGATTAAACAGCTGTGCAATACTCCCTCCCTTTCATTAATTTTCTCATCAATTTCACCTCACGATCTAACTTCAAATAAGTCCTCTTTAAATCTTTAAAATCGAAAGGCAAGCATTTCGGTCCACTAACAATTAAGTAAGAATTAGGTAAAGTTAGGTTAGGAAATTTTATGTTGTCAACTATAAAATCGAATTCAGAACACTCACTTGTTTAAGCAAAAATAATCAGATCCAATTGAATATCCTTAATCGGTTGGTATATACATATTTATATATTAGTGCACTATTGTATCCAAATAAATTATAGAAGAAATTATATTATTTTTTTATTCTCGATTATATCCGATATTTTGTCTGTTTATGTAGTCAATTTAAACAAACATTCCATTCCATTCAATGTTCATGTATTTTTTCTTTTGAACCAATCAGAATTCGCCTTTATTCTACATTGTCATAAATTTCAGCCAATCAGCAACTAGCTGGGTTTTGTGATGTAAATTTGTTCAAATTTTCACCCAAAAAAATAGAAACCAATTGAAATTAAGGATAAATGTGACATTTTTTTTAGAAAAATAATACCCTATTGGTGATATTTTTGGATAGAAAAAGAAACAATATTTAAAAAAAATTTGATATTTTTTAACAGTTGTTATAATTTTCTTGGAAATATTTTTCTAAAGTTCAATAAGCATGTTATTCTCATGTGAATGGCAGTACAACTACTCATAACACTTAATCAGTAGTATTTAACGTCATACAATAATGCTTGCTTTTTTGATTACGATTTATATATAACTGCCATTTACGAAGTAATCTGTGACGAAATTTCGCCTTAAATTGTTTAAATCATTAAAATTTTTGCATACCACCACTTGGAAATTATTCTAGTACTCACTAGTAATCCACTACAGAAGGTAATTGCCTGAGCTTCTGGTGGAGAGTCGTGAGCATCAGGTTTTACGATGTTTACTTCGCTAAAATCATGAACTGACAGAAGTTAGGATCTATAATCCACTGGATTCAACCTCAGTGACTGAATAGTCAACGAGATTATCCTATTTCCTGAAAGTCCTGGGTTCAAACCCCAGTGGGTGTGCCTAGTGCTGAAGAGTTCCAAGCACTAGGACGAAACAACTAGCTGTCCAGTATTCCCTGATTGGTTTTCACCGGTTCTCTGACTGATGTCAGCTTGCAATCAGATCTGTAACCAACCAAGTCCGTGGAAACGGACATCTGGTAGTCAATCTGATCCTCACTAGCTACTGGGTCTTTATAGAAAGTTACCTGGAGTTGTAGTTAAAACTCGTATCCACTATAGTCCACTAAGTGTCGAAAGAGGAGAGTTATTCGCCTGTGATACTAGCTAGCGATTGCGTTAATTATATCATGAAGTGTCAGAAGTAGGAGTTCATGGACCACTGGGTCGTGTTTCAATGGCTGAATGGTCTACGAGCTAGGCTGGTGACTTGAAAGTATTGAGTTGGACAAGTGCTTGCTTCTGAAGAGCCATGAACTAGGACAAGACAGCTATTCATCACTTTCAGGTTTTCTAATGGCCCTCTAACCGATGTCACTTCATTATGAAATCCTGAAAGCAATAAAATCCCTGAAAATCGACAGCTGATTAGTACATGATTTATTCATTTAGAAAAGAAACAACATACTGGGCGAAGAAATATGAATTCCTTTACTTCAGTTAGCAGTTCCTCTTCCTCAGCTGGATGGCTGGTTGGAGGTGTGAAAATTAATCACTGAATTCAAGATAAATTAGTTCATAGGTGCTAGCAACAACTTATTTTTTTTTCATTGCAGCTTGATTCCACACAGTACCCTTTCTTTAGTAGATGTAAGGAATTTTCAGCATGTGTTATCGGTAGCCTAAATTTTGATACCGGATGTGCATCTTCAGGAGATCAAACCCCGGACCATATTCATGGTCAATGAGAGTCCTAACCACTGTGTCACCGACGCACAGGATCCATATTTCATCCTGTTTGGGACTCATCATCAGCTGGATGTACCTGCATTCCCCAGTGGGTGATGATGTTTCCACCACCGAGGCTGGAACCCAGTGCCCATAGTTTCAAACACCAAAGCGTTATCCACTAGACCACTTAGGTCACGAGAGCCATCTCTTGTGCAACGGGTCATACTAATTATTTAACTGAAATGCGCATCCTGGACTTTACTGCTAGTCACCATACACCAATTAAATTCTAATTACATTCCCAGACATCGTTGAAGCATCTGCACAAGAAGCCGACAGACATGTCAACCTGAGGCCGAGCACTTCGGTCCAATCAATCGAAGGGAAAATCTCAAATTCAATTAAACTTATTATATAATCCAGAAATTTGTAAAGTAGTAATGATAACCATAAAGAATAGGATGATTCAGAAGAGTTAAGTAAAATACAAACAAGTTAATAGAATCATCTAGAATTGTAAAAATTACCAAAATTCAAAACAGAGTTACAAGGAGAGGGGAGAAAATCGTTTTGAAAAATTTAATACATATTATGTAGTTGGCTATGACAAAGAAAGAGTTCTGTACAGATTTCTTTTGAACCTATACACAGATTTGGCTTGTTCAGATGAATTCCCATTGCCTCTGCTGTGTGTATGTAAAAGTTGTACTCGTAGACTATACGATGAGAGGTTGGATGACATTACGATAAATAACTTTAAAAGCTTTCTATTATGGGTAAATTTTGTTTTGATAAAATCTCACAGTGTTATACAGTAATGTTTACTGATGATGTTTCGAGCACAATTTATCGCTCATAATCATATCAAGGTACTCACACGACTTCCTAAATTCATTTATATAGTTCCATTGTTTTTCTCTTGATTTTCACTTGATTTGATTGATAGTAATATTTTCCATATTTCATGTATGAGTGATGAATCATTCCTATTGCATGTATTTGGTGTAGACTCGATGAACAAGGATTAGGTAATCAACCTCTCTCTCCACCTATCTAGATTACTTTTTAGAATTTTAACCCTCTCCCATCCGATTGTGTGGTTGTGTGTTAATGCATGCATTGCAATTGCTGAACTTTTTTCTAAATTACTTATCTTTTCAGAGTCAACCATTCCTACCTTAGCTAAATTCTTATGTTCTGACAATCTGACTACCCCTGACCTACTAGTTTGACCTATGTAGTTGACCTCACAGTCATTGCATGGTATTTTGTAAATTATATCATTTTGTCTAATTGGGTCAACTGGGTCCTTTAACCTACACAGCTTGTCCCTGAGTGAGTTTGTAGGTTTAAATGCCACCCTAATTCCTGCTTTATTTAGAATCCTACGTAGGGTTTCAGATATCCCCTCTTTATATGGTATAACTGTAGATGACTTATATTCTCTCTTATTTATGTTATCATTACTAGTTTCATAATTATTTTTATTTTGTTTTTGGCCTTTACTGATCTTCTGAATGAGTTTTATAGGATAGTTATTCAACACCAACGCTTCTTCTATCTGTTTTAATTCATCATTTAGGTCTTTTTTTGTGCTACTTAATGCCACTGCTCGGTTTGTTAAACATTTAACTAAGCCTGCCTTAACAGTTAAAGGATGAGACGAATTAAAGTCTAAATATCTATTAGAATGCGTTGGTTTTCTATAAACACTAGTGTGTAGTTTGCCTTCTTCTATTCTTTTTTTCTTACAATCTAACATAGCTAATTCTCCTTGTTCATTTTCTGATTCAAATGTGAATTTTATTCCCTCAACTTGTGAGTTTATATGTGTCAAGAAGCTAGAGATGTGTTCTGTTTTTAACACTGTGAAAGTGTCATCCACATATCTCCACCATATTTTCGGAGTAGGGTTAAATGTATTGAGGGCACTATTTTCCCAGCTGTCCATAAATATGTCTGCTACGATAGGGGATATTGGTGATCCCATTGCTACACCTTCTGTTTGTCTATATATTTTGTCTTGGAACTTAAAGATAGTAGATGTGAGGCATAACTGAATCCCTAAAATAATTTCTTCAATGGACAGCTTTGTCCTATGACTGAGTTCCGGATCCGCAGTTAATTCTTTTTTAACTGCTTCTAAGGCCATATTAACTGGTATATTAGTATAAAGACTAGTTATATCAAAACTAACCATTGTTTCATCATTCGCTAGTTGAATGTCATTTATTTTATTTTTCATCTCATATGAATTAGTTAATCTAGAGTTTGAACGATTTCTAATGGGGCATAGTATTAGAGCTAAGTGTTTTGATAATTCATAATTTAAAAGCTTTGTTAGAGTCAATTTGATGTCCAGTCAGTATCGAAGAGATGAGCTAGTATTGAGTTGCGTACAGGGACTTTATTCACACCTTTGTCAAACCAAGATGAGAGGTGTTCAGAAATTCGATGATGGACTTGTCTGATTCTATGCCTTAGCTCCACATGGGTATGCGGGAGAGGAAAAACTGGGCAGTTTGCCTTTATTTCTTGAACTAGGTAGTGGTCCGCTAGTAAATATACAGCATAGCTTAGCTGTGTTGAAAGTCCTTTTAAAGGCTCTTCTCAGACGTTGTGATCGAATCTCACTGTTGATATTGCCTGTGAATTGAAACCTTAGGAGGACTGACTAATTAACAGATCACGAATATTACCGAGTTCTTCATTCAGTGTCTCATTTGAACAAATAACTCTAGCCTGGTGAGCAAAACATCTAACCAGATTACGTTTGTATTGTAGAGGTTCGAAGCTCAAGAAGTGAGTATATTGTCCAGTGGAAGTAGGTTTTCTACACAAACGCCTACGTATTGTTCCGTCTTTTCATTTAGTCATTAGGATTGGACGTCCAGAAAGCGGATAGAGTCACTTTATTCTTCTTCCTTAGTGAAGCTTATGCTGGGATGTGCTCCAATGAATTTATCCCATATGTCCTTAGTCTCACTTTCTTTCTTAACAACTAAAGGTGCATCATCAACGCATCGGCAATAGAAATCAAGATTATATATTAGATCTTTAAGAGGACAGTTCTCTAGTTTCACCAGGTAAAGATATGCTAAGATTGAACATAATGGTGACCCCATGGCAACAACGGCTGATTATCTATGCATTTCTTAATTGAACAGGAAATTTACTTTAATTGTACACCTTAAAAGAAGTTCCTTTAGGGGAGACACAGGAATTACAATCTCTATACCTTGCTTTATCAATTCCTTACCTATGTACTCAACTGTTTCCTTCAAAGGCAGATTGGTGAATAAGGAAGATGCATCCGGTGATATCATATATTTGTCATTCAAATTTAATTCCTTGACTCTTTCTACAAACTCAAAACTATCTTTTACGCTATTTTTCACAATTTTCTTATGTTTCAGCGGCTGTAAAAGTTCCACCAGCCACTTCGCAGTTGAATGGTACGGTAAGC